GGTAACCAAGGAGATGCACACACATGGGGATTTTGTGGTACCTGGGTGACTGCCCAGAGCACTAAATCCTGGAGTTGAGAATCCCCTTGAAGACATTTCAGTACTCCTGGGAATTTCAAAGATGTCATCATAACTCAAAAACCCTCCAAATGTCACTACCTTGTTCTTCTGCCTCCCCATTGTGCTTGCTGTCCCCATTGAGACCAAAGCCCAACCACTGCCTTGGGGGAGACATGGGCTGCTGCAGTCCCACACATCTGGATCACCTGCAGCTAATCCAGCAGGGCCCAGCTTCCAAGGTCTTTAGAGTCCACATGATATTTCTAGGAGTGTCCTCCTCTCTGAGATAACTGAATCTTTCAGAATGAAGGTTTTTACTATTGATCAAAATATTCTGTGATGTTCACAGTTAAGTCAACTGCACTGCTTCTCTTCAGGACATGGAATCTTCCCTACTATCTATGTGAATAACTTTTAGACTGTAGTCCTTCTAACGTTGGAAATTGGAGAATTCCCAGCCCAGGTGACTGGGAAAACTGAAAGCATCTTTTGTGTTTTCCTGCCGTTTAAGTAACTTAGGCAAAAGTTGCTCTGGTTCTGACTCTCATTCGACCTTCCCTCTGTGAGTTTTCTAGAGTTTCTCTAGAGAGAAATCCATTATTTACACGGTGGCATTCAATGCAGTTCTACCCTATTACATTCTCTGGTTCTTATTCACTGTATTCACTGGCCCTGCACATCTCTTTCTGGTCTAGGGAGAAGACCAGTGACGATGGGGTGACTGAGAGCTACATCGGGTGAAGCAATTACAAAGAAATGTTAAAAAGTGGAAGTGTACCATTTCCCCCCCTTTTTTTTCCCTAGCACAGCCACATTCGGGAGAGAAGAATGTGAGGCTTAGCTGCTGAGGCAGGGTCAGGGTGGTACCATGGTGATGCATTAAAGCTGACCAAATGGCACACTTTGCAATAACCTGGCTATAAAAACTGCCTGCAGGAAGACGTGTCTATGAGTGATGGCCAAACCTATTGGCATTTGATGGCTGTTTGCCCCTGTGACTTTGAATAAGTTATTGCTTCACACTTTATTCTTAAAAACACACTGGTATTTTAATAACGATTTGGCATGATATTCTTCCGTGTGGGATTCTAGTTATCTAAAAGACTCCATGTAATTTTTAAATCGCCAGACTTACTTCAAAAGAAAAACTTAAGCATTAAGAGAAAGTAGCTAAAGGTTCAACCTAACTGACATGAGACTTTTAGTTTGAAGAATTAAGCATATGTTTGGAATTGCAAAAGTCAAAGTCCTCCAAGCAAGGTTAAATTGTCCTTTAATACATTGAGGGTACATATTTAGTCTAGGGATTTACAATCAGCAAGAGAACCGTAACTTCTGATTTGGTGTGTGTAAATTTGTAGTGCAAGTGTTTCATTTCTCTAGACATTTGCATTTAATTTTTGGGTTAATGTGAAAAAATAAAAAAATTAAAGGTAAGGAAATAGTGCTTTAGAATGAAAGTATTCCATTTTGACTGCCCCTCAAAGGGTTTCAGCTGTGTAGTGTAACAGGACTGCCCTCTCAGGGAAGTAGAATTTTCAATTTAAAATGGGCATTCCCGACATTTCCAAATAGTTAAACAAAAATTTCAAGCTATGTCTTAAAAGATGTCTTGCTTCATGTCTTATTTTATTATTTAGAAGTATAGTCAATCACTTTTTACCTTGATTATTATGATCCTTTTTGAAATTATTGTTCTAAAAGATATAGCTTCCTCTTCTAATAGCAGCATGCATAGTTTTTCTTAGAGTTTCTCACTTGTCCTTTTTGTAGGTATTTCCTTTAAAAATACTTATTGTAATTTACTGAATGTTTGCCCCTACCCCTATTCATGTTAAAATTTTAGTTCACAATGTGATAGTGTCAGGAGCTAGGACATCTGGGAGGTAATGAGGTCACAAAGGTGGAGGACTCTGGCATGGGATTAATGCCCCTCTAAAGGGGATACTAGGGAGCTCTCATGCCTTTCCCAACCACTTGGTGATGCATGGGGACATCAGTAGTCTGCAGCCTGGAATAAGGGCTTCTCCAGAATCTTGCCAGGGCTGGCACTCTGCTATCAGACTTTCAGTCTCCAGCACTTTGAGAAATCAATTTCTGTTTTATATAAAGTTATAATGGTTTGGGGGGGCTGGAGAGATGGCTCAGTGGTTAAGAGCACTGGCTGCTCTTCCAGAAGACCCAGATTCATATCCTAGCACCTATATGGCAGCTAACAACCATCCATTACTCCAGTTCCAGAGGATCTGATGCCCTTCTCTGTCATCCAAGGGCATTGCATGACCCAAGACACATGCAGACATAACACTCATAGACAAAATTAAAATAAATAAAATGTTTTAAAAGTTGTAATGCTTTGTTACAATAGCTATCACTAACAAAGATACCGTTTTGAGAGATTTAAATGAAAGAGGAGCGAATGCATACCAGGGAATGGATCACCATAATGCCACAGTGACATTTAGGGTGAGACTGATAAAAGGACTGTCTTATGCATTAAAGATCAGACTATGCAAATTTTTTCAGCTGTAAGGGCTAGCCCCTGGGAGAACTGGCAGCCACCCAAAGAACAGAAATCATGGCATTTGAGGCAACTTCTCTTGTTTAAAGGAGGACACACAGTGGACACTTGGGATGAGCCCCAATGTTCAGTAAGAATGTGTGGGCTGTCCATGGGCCTCCACTAATCCCTGCAGGGGTCCATTGGACGTGCTCCACACATGAAAGCCTATCACAGGGTGAGGCTAAACTAGGGAGGAAAAAGACACATCTTGTTTTTCTGCTTACAGAACCCAACTCTTCAGTCTTCAAAGGTCTTAGCCTCACAGAAATGTGGGCTGTTGTTTTTCATTTATCCCTCAAAAGAATGTGGAGGGGGAAATAGTACAAATACCCCTTACTTCAGCATTGATTGATTTAAGAAAAAAATGAATAAAAACATTTCCTAGCAGATGGTTGAAACAATCCTGCTCTTCACAAAAGCCTCTGCTGATGACACTGAATATTAAGAAAATAATTCTTTCAATTAGTGTGTGCCCAGTGCACCTGTGAGCTGGAATCATCCAAGGAGGCTATTGACGAGTGTTGGTGAGAACAATCAAGGATTCATTCACCCTGCCTTCTTCTACTGCCATGGCCGCGGATGTTAATCTGAGGGTCACAGGCTGAGAGGGCTGCCTGCCTGTAATTCCAGGAGTACCAGACACAGGAGTTCAGATCAAGAACATGATTAATTTCCAGCTATGCCATCACTATCATCACTAGGGCCATTTTGTTTTCTTGCTGTTGTTTTCTGTCATTCCTAAAGAGCATAACTGTGCAGGAAATGTATTGTGTACATCGTATAATGAAAAAGCGAACTCTGTGTTGGAGTATGAGTTTTCTTGCTCCTGTGTTTTCCAGTACTTTTAATAGTTCTCAGTGTTTGTTTGGTTTCTTTTTTCTTTTTTCCTAAACATGTTTTTAATTAGAAATTAAGACTATTAGACAACTTTTTAAAAATGTTCTTTCCTAAACTTTGACGCACAATTCGTTGGGTCTTATACAGGATGTTGTCAATAGACTGACAGTTCATCCTTCAGAAACATTTAACGCAGTCTCTGTGTCCATGGTGCTTTGTGTTTGTGTCAGGGTGTGCACATAAGCAACACACCCTTTGACTTTGAAATGATTGTATTTTTGCTGCAACCATTCTCTCCTCTGCTTTAGTGATGAAACACACTACAATATAGCATTACTCAGTGTTTTCCAGGACTCCTCATTCTTATCTGTGGAAGGACTATTGTTTGATTATTTGTCTCCTCCCAGACTCATGTTAAATTTAATTACCATATGATAGTTTTAAGATGTGGGACCTTTAAAGGGAATGTCAGACTTAGAGGGCTCTGCCCTCATTGGTGGTGAGACTGATTCCCTTATAAAAATGAGCATATAGCCACCTCTTTGCCTTTCCATCTTCATTAAAGATGAAGTACCCCTATTCCCGTGGACTCAGAACTCAATGCACCATCTTGGAATCAGATTTGTGAAACCTGCTGGTGTCTTTATCTTTGACTGCCCAGCTTCCAAAATTGTGAGTCAATACCTTCTGTTCATTGAAAATTACCCAGATTGTGGCATTTTGTTATAGCAACACAAAATAGACTAAAGTAGGAAGTAAAGAAGTTTCACCTCATGCAACATACTGAATTGCTGTGTAATAAACCAACCCCCAAATAATGGCTTAAAAAACTCCTATGAGTTAATGTTGACAAGTGTGGGTAGCTGACCTGGGCCCAGGCAAGACTCCCTCATTCCTCTATGGTCAGCCAGTGCTCAGTGGACTGGCTTAACCTAAGTTGATCTCTCGTGTCCAGTGATTGACTGGCAGCTGATTGGAAAGCTAAGGACAACTGGACCACGTTGTTTTCTCAGAGGACTAACCCTGACTCGCTGAGTGACAACAGATTTTGAAGGGAGCCAGGAGTGGTATGGAAAACCAACTGAATCATAGATACATAGTAACAAGTGTCCTTCTGCTGTGTGTTACTGGCCAAACCAAGTTAAGGGCTACTTCAAATTAGAGAGGTAAGGAATTAGGCTAAAGAGGAGCTGGACTGGAGAGATGGCTCAGCAGTTAAGAACACATACTGCTCTACAGAGGACCTGAGCCTGGTTCCCAGCACTCATGCAGGATGACTTACAACTTCCTGTAACTCCAGCTCCAGAAGGTGGGAGTCCCCCTTGTGGCCTCTGCAGGTGCCACCACTTGTGCACATACCTACACACAAATATTCATTCACACAATTAAACAAAAAAGTAAGTCTTAAAAAAATAAGAGAAGCTGGGAGTTCAAGACACAGGTGGATGTAGGGCAGACAAAGGTTATAGATACATTTGCAACCACCTTTTTTGTAATCCTTTAGCTTGGTTTTTCCTTTTTTCTTTCTTTCTTTTTTCTCTTTAATATGGAACACTTCATGAATTTGTATGTCATGCTTGTGCAGAGCCATGCTAATCTTTGTATCATTCCAATTTTAGTATATGTGCTGCTGAAGCAAACACTTCAGCAAGGTTTGGAAAGTGAAATACATCTTCCTACCTTGTTGGACTTTATGAGCCTTGCCCAAGAGTCAGCTTTCCCTGAAAATCACCCAAATCTTAATCTGTACACATCGCAATCTCTAAGACAACATTGTAGCTTGGTGAGAAGGGGTTGTGTTAAAAAAGAAGGGAGTACTACGAGAGACTCTGTCAAATCCTTTTGCATGTGAGTGTGCCTGTCAATGCTTTTTGCGTTTCTCAGTCATATTTGATCTTTTTTCAAGGGGTCACCTATGTTCCAAGACATAGTTCATGGGAAATGCTGTCTCAAGATGTGTTTCTAGTCTTCCACATTCATCTATGAATTACAAGCTGTGGCAAGTATCAGCCTTCTAGAGCAAAAACACAGAATGAGGTAGGAAGGCAAAATAAGTCAGGGCCATTTCATGCTTTGGATACCCTCAATACTCCTTTAAGAGGAAGTTATCTAGAAACCAGTGCCTCACTATAGTGGGTGACATATTCATAGTTGACAGGGTCTTTAGAGATCCTCTAATAAAAACCCTCAGACGCTATACTCCTACACAGTTTTCCCAATAAGACATTGCTAGCAAATGTCACCACTAGATATTACATGTTAAACTAATTTACAGAATGGGTACTCAATAAGCTAAGGATTTCTATTTCTTTCTTAGCATAAAGTGCCACACACCTTTAATCCCAGCACTGGGGAGGCAGAGGCAGGCGGATCTTTGTGAGTTCAAGATCTGCCTGGTCTACATAGTGAGTTCCAGGACAGCTGGGGCTACAGGGAGACCCTGCCTCAAAAAAGACCAAAAAAAAGTAGTTCTCTCTCTCCATTTTAGCAATTAGAATAAATTAATGGTGATGATGTTTATGACATTGGGCAAATAACTTTCCCATTCTGCCTTTGGTTCCCTTATTAGCAAATTATACTCTTAAACTGATGAAGTCATCATTATAAGAGAAACATATTAATTGCTTACTATAGGCTAGGTAAATTACCAACCACTTTCAGTCACTAAATCATTCACCAAATATTGTACCTATAATGACGTAATAGTAGTTTTTTTTCAGGAACTGGTTCACAGAAAAGACCCTGTCCCTGTGGACTTTTTTCTTTTAAAGGGTGATCAGTGTGTAATAATAAGGAAACAAAAAATGTGAATTATAATGAATACATTCACATGCTTGATAATCTCCATTCTGGGCAGAAAGCTGTTACATCCCTAAAATTACTGAATTTTAAATTAGCACATTGAATCATGAACTAAGGCTATTGGGAGCTACTGGCGCATCAGAAAGTTGGAAAGGCCATGAAGAAGTGATGTTTAAACAGAATTTTTTATGATAAGAAGATAGAAGAAAAGTATAAAGAAATTTTAAAACGATGAACCTGTTGGGATAACAGCCCCAAGAATGTAGGAGAAATTGAGAGTGGGTGAGACCAAGTGGACAGTTGTCTGAGTAGTAACCACATGGAGCCAAGGTGAAAGGCTAGGGCCAAATCATGTGGGACTTCGTAAGACATAAACAAGAAAAGCACCTGCATTTTATTCTAGCTGGGAAGTCATTCTGGGTTTTTTAAAATCATTATTTAAAAAAAATTTTTAAAGTAACTACATGATTAGAAGAAGCATTTCACTGTAGTGTAGCTTTAACATATTCAGTAACGCACTCCAGAGCAACAGTACATCTCTTTCACAAGTGGGTGCAAGTGTCTAGGTTCACAGTTGAATTAATACAGTTATACAATATTGAACTCAGTATAAGCCCTATAAGACATA